GCTTCCCAAGTAGCTGGGACCATAGGTGCCCGCCACAACACCTGGCTATTTTTTTTTTTTTTTGGTTGCAGCCATCATTGTTGTTTCGACAGGTCCATGCTGGATTTGAACCCTCCACCTTAGGTGTATGTGGCTGGCACCTTAGCTGCTTGAGCCACAGGCGCTGAGCCATAGACTGCTGTGTTGTCATAGCTCACAGCAACCTCAAACTCTTGGGCTGAAGCAATTCTCTTGCCTCAGCCTCCCAAGTAGCTGGGACTACAGGTACCCACAACAATGCCCACCTATTTTTGTTGTTGTTGTTGTTGTTGTTGTTGCAGTTATCATTGTTGTTTTAGTAGGCTCAGGTTGGGTTTGAACCTGCCAGCCTCAGTGTATGTGGTCGGTGCCCTACCTACTGAGCTATGGGTGCCCTTCTGTAAACTGCTGAGGGAGATAGGTGGGTCTTCTCCAAGAGAGAGTGGCTGAGCTGGGAGAGGCCAAAGACACAGATTGCAGCCTCCTGACATGTGTCTAGAGCCCAGGAGCATTGTCTCTGGGTGTCACCAGCAGCCCCTTTGGGGGCTCAGGCCTCTGCCCCTCCAAATGTGTCTCCTCAGCTAGGCCAGCCTGAGGTGTGGCATTACAGTTGTGTCCAGTCCCAGGTGGGAAGATGCCCCAAGCTTCCGAGACCACGGCCTTCCAGCTTTTCTTGGGTTAAATGATGGTGCTGGGAGCTGGTAGCTTGAAAAAGATGACATACTGGCAAAATATGCTGCTCTGCTATTCTCAGGCCTTATTATGGAAAAAAGCAGGCAAGACAGCATGAAAGACTGTCATGGATCTCCCCCTGTTCACCCCTCCATTCACCCCCTTCTGTTTTTTTTTTATTATTTTATTTTATTTTATTTTATTTTTTTTAGATGGAGCCTCAAGCTATCCTCCTGGGTAGAGTGCTATGGCATCACAGCTCACAGCAGCCTCCAACTCCTGGGCTCAAGCGAGTCTCCCGCCTCAGCCTCCCAAGTAGCTGGGACCACAGGCGCCCTCCACAACGCCTGGCCATTTTTTGGTTGCAGCCATCATTGTTGTTTGGTGGGCCCAGGCTGAGGATTCGAACCCGCCACCTTAGGTGTATGTGGCTGGCGCCTTAGCTGCTTGAGCCACAGGTGCCGAACCCCCCTTCATGTTTTGAAACAAATCCAGGCATCCTGTTCTTTTATCTACAAGTATTCTGGAGTGTGTTACAGTTCCACAAACACACCTAAAGCAATGAATAAGTTCTCAACCCCCTGAAATGTCTGGTGTGTTTAAGTTTTTGGTTGTCAGTTTTTTTACTAGTGTGAATTAAGATCCAAAATAAGGTCCACATGGTACAATTAGTTGATTTTTTTTTTTTTTAAGACACAGTCTCACTGTGTTGCCCAGGCTAGAGGACAACTAGCTAAGATATCACATCTCATAGCAACCTCAAACTTCCGGGCTCAAGTGATCCTCCTGCCTCAGCCTCTATTGTGATTATAGAGGTGCCTGCCACAATGTCTAGCTAGTTTTTCTATTTTTAGCACCCTCATGGGTGGCACCTGTGGCTCAGTGAGTAAGGCTCTGGCCCCATATACTGAGGGTGGTGGGTTCAAACCCAGCCCTGGCCAAACTTCAACAACAAAAAATAGCCAGGTGTTGTGGTGGGCACCTGTAGTCCCAGCTACTCGGGAGGCTGAGGCAAGAGAATCACCTGAGCCCAGAAGTTAGGGAGGTTGCTGTGAGCTGTGTGATGCCATGGCACTCTACCAAGGGCGATAAAGTGAAACTCTGTCTCTAAAATAAATAAATAAATAATAAATATTTTTAGCACCCTCTGTGTATATATATGTTATATATTATATATGTATAAAATATATATATATATTATATATATATATATTTTAGACTGAGTCTCATTTTGTTGCCCTCGGTAGAGTGCTGTGGCATCATAGCGCACAATGAGTTTAAACTTTTGGGCACAAGTGATCCTCTTGCCTCAGCCTCCCACATAGCTGGGATTACAGGCTCCCACCACAATGCCCAGCTATTTTTTAGAGATGGAGTCTTGCTCTTGGTGGTCTTGAACTCCTGAGCTCAGGGAATCTACTTGCCTTGGCCTCTCAGAGTGCTAGGATTATAGACCTGAGCTACTGCTCCAGCCAGTTGATGTCTTTTAAATCTCTGTTGGTGCAAATGATCTCCTTACCATCTCGTTTGTCCTTGAGTGATTTGTTGAGGAAGTTGACCCCTGCAACCTGGATTTCTCTCTGTGTGTCTGGTGTTGCCATTGCTGTGCTGTTGAGTATGTACTCTGTTCTTTGTATTTCCTGTAAGTTAGTAGTTGGAAAAAGCTGTGTTGTGTGGAGAGCCAGAGTTCAGGAGCTCTAGGGCCCCTGTGGGCAGTGGCTGCAGGAGAGAACATCATCACAAAATGTTCTGGGTGGCATTGCTCTAGGTGTGAGCTGCTTGTTAGGTCAGTATCAGTTGCTTCGTTTGGAAGATAGCTTGTTGATGTATGCCACTAACCTTGGCTACTGGATTGTCTGGGCCTGCTATTGGCTTGTGAATGTTTTAGGTCCAGGACTGGGCACAT